TAGATAGATAAAAGAAAGGCAAAATTGGTTGAAGATTGTGAGTAAATTATAACATCTCAATTTTCATGATTATAATGGTTTATAGTTATGGCTTCTTGACTCCATCTAAAAAAATATTGACTGAATTTGATTTTTAAGTTGAACATTTATCTATATTTGTAAGAACTGCAAGATGTCTCCAGTTGTTCCATCACCAATTTCATAGTATCAATCTTCTGATTATTAAACGACAAGCTTATGCAATCTGATTATTAAACAACCATACATAAGATAACTTTTTTATAAGATAAACAAAGTTAGTAATATAGATTAAAACACCAAAATAAGATGATTTTTTCAAAAATAAAAAAGAAGTTACAGCAATCTGCTGTTGTTTCCAGATCAAAGTCTTGCTCATGCATGTCATTTGCGCCAATACCATAACAATCAATACCACAGCAGTTGTTCTCCTATGGCCCCAAAACCACGTGACTATGAAGGATAATAACAAAAAACAATACTTACGGACTATTAGTTCTACACAAACCTTTTACGGGGCGTTTATATATTCATGAGTTTCAAACGTACACGGACTTTTCTCGAGTTAAGCTAAATCTAGTGAATAATTCTGTTTTTTCTTTTTCTTTTCAATGTAACTGTTACAATAGTTTTCAGAGAAGGTATCAAGTGGAACAAAGACTATCCCAGTTTTGCGCCCTAAACGAAAAAACACACACACACACAAAAACACAAAAAACAAAAAACAAAGTAATAAAGCAAATGTACCTTAATTTGCTGAGATCTGACAGCAGATAGAGTTTCTATAGGCTGGAGTCCAATGGTTACAGCCCTTTGACTTTGCACAGTGCTTAATATATATCATACTTTCTAAACCAGCCTGACAAATGGTGTTAGTAAAAACTACCTTAGTTCAAACCGCAAACCATTCATTTATTTACATAACAAGGGAAATCACATGAGGATATCTAGTATCTTCTTTGACAAACATTGATAAACTAAAGGAATAGAATCAAAGCAAAATGAAAATAAAGGTATGTGAATCATATGTGGAAAGGTAAGGGATTTTGTATCTTGCCTAATTTCTCAGATGTCAACCTGGAATCTTGGCACAATTCTCCCACCTATTATCAAAGTACAGATAGAAAGGTATCAAGGTTCAAGTCGCAACAAAAGAAGAAATAAATAAAATGAAAATAAATGTAATAAAAGATTTGGGATGTAATTTAGAAACTAGAAATGGCAGGCTTGCAAGAACCTGCCATTGTATATTTTCTACATTGATCAAGCATTTAGGCAACTATTACCCTTGTCTTTTATAAATGTTAAGGAAGAGAAAAAAAAATATCACAATGATCAAGCATTTGGGCAACTATTAACCTTGTCTTTTATAAAATTTAAGGAAGAGAAAAAAAAAATCAAGACAACTATTACCTTGTCTTTATAACTGTTAAGGAAGAGCAAAAAAATAGCACACTCCCCTCTCTCCCCCCCAAAAAAAACCCAAAATTATACATACCCCCCATTGAAAATTTTGAAACGTAATTCAATTTTTTAATAATACAGACATTGTTCTGTTCATTATTTAACCTTCACAGAGGGTATGTAGTGAAACAAAAACTATTCAAGCCGCCAACTTAAAGAATTGATTAAGAACCCAAGTAACAGAGCAAAGAGGTTAAGATTTAGCTTTTCAAACAGTTTTACTCCTACAAAAGCATTCTTCTCCAGTCGGTCTTGCGCTTTACAAACCTACAAAACAGTTCACTCCAATTAAAGCATGAAGATAAAACGATGCATGAAGATAAAACTTCACTGACCTCCACATAGGAACAGTTTACTGAATCCTTTCTTTAGCTCCAAAAATTTAATTAGAGAGAGAGAGAGACTCTTTACGATTATTTAACCACGAGCTTAGCACCTCTTACCAGTCGATCATAAGCCATTCGCTGTCCATGGACAAATCTATATAAAGTTCCGTGATGCTGCAAATGGACAAAAGATTATCCATAACCTATATGATCGGCCAGCCCACGATATTATTGGACCAGATGGCAGCACCTTGGCACTGACGAGCCCTATGAGCCCGAGAGGAGATCGTTTGACTGGCCACATAACATTTCCATGTCATTGTTCGATACGAGCCTTGTGGTCAATGTTTTCGCTGGGGGTAAGAAGTTATTTACCCGGGATTCATGCTTTTCTAATTACACGAGTGATTTGGAGCATTATATTCGTGGTAGGCTTGGTTCCTCCATTGCTTATGAGGTGTGCTATGCTGCTATGCCGCTGGCAATCTATGCGCGTCTTAGAGTCGAGGTTCATAAGAACGGAGAAAAAGCATATCGTCAGACTCTTGATGTCCAAGGAAAAATTGTTGCTCGTTATAACAACACAGATAGCACAAGCTCCACATCGGGCGCCTGTGCGCTTCTTGAGAAGCAAGGTAGAGAATGTGAAAGAGTTGAGATTCATCCGGTGTTCAGGAGGGGCATGCTCACACTGTCTCGATGTTGGGTGGCCTTACCTGCGTATGCATCTCTCGCCATTGATCTCGAGTTGTCGGAATTCGGAACTCAGAGAAAGATCCTTACAGAAACAGCAGAATTTCGAGTTAATTATCATAATGGAGGGTCTATGGTGTTTGTCGTAAATGACGAAACAGCTATCAAAATTTGTGTGGGATGGAAATCACCTATGCCACAAGCAAGAAGCAAAAGGGAGGAAGAAGATACTAGTGATGATGAGGTTCTCTTATATCGTGACAAGCACTCTTTTCTCTTGAGTTCATTGTGTAATTTATCTACTATCGCTATTTTTCTAGTACTCTGGTTATTTGAATCACCCCTCCTTTTTCTATTTCCATTTTTCAAGTCGGATGATGATGATGATGATGATGATGATGATGATGACGATGATGGCGGCAATGATGATGATGATGATGATGACGACCAAATGAATGAGGTATATTGTTCTCCTACAAACTACATTTCTCATTTATGCGTGGATCACATATTGATTGATGATTATCCCACCCCCTCTTTTCTTTGAAGTCCTCCGATGTTCAAATGGCTCACCTAGAAAATGTTGGAAAATTGTGAATGAAAATTGTAACTGAAAATTAAATTTTGAAACCGTGTATTTCATCTCAAAACTTGTAACTTGGTTCATGTTACAAGATTAATCTTTAACTCAACTTTATTAAATTTTGAGTTAAATGGATTAATTAATGAAAGTGCAAGTTTTGAGTTAAATGAACTATTAATGAACTATTTATTAATGTGCCTTGTCTTATAAGTATATAAGGCTTGTCTTCTTTGAGGAGAAAAGATACGAGAGTGAAAAACACAATATTCAAAAAGGCTTTTCCCCATTTTAAAGTGTTTTGGTCCAGGCATAATTCCAGTTCGCCGGATTAGTTTCGGTTCTTCCGTTGTATCCTGGGAAACAGACGCTCATACGGGGCGAATCTGTTTTAAGGACACTGTGTTCTCACAGGCCTCGGTATTTTTTATTTTAGCCATCTTATTTTCATTTTCCCGATACAGATCCCTACAGAAAATGACAAAGAAGAGAGTGGCGATGAGGAAATGGATGAGGTATATTATTTTATTCGGGACATTTATTAATTCCGATTATCTTTTGGATGGACTTGGTATTGATATCTATGGATGGATCTGATATTTTCCTCTGATGTAGGTATCCCATCGTGAAGCACCTACGAGCCGCCTCAGGAGTGCTTCCTGGTATGCGTTCTATTCAAAAATTTCTACTGGAAATTCGCCAGATGCATTTGCTATATTTAGTTTCATGTTATTTTGAGTAAAAAAAAAAAAAGATTGTGATTGTGATTGTCCAGGAAGTAGTTGTCGCAATGATAATAAGTAGATAAATATGTGGATTTTTGTTTTATACTTATTGTCCTTATCAGTATCATTAGGGTTATTGTAAAAGGCTTGCGTTTGTGTGTCAAATGATGCAGCATCTAGGGACAATTAACTTCGAAATCAAACAATTTCACAAAATAGAGAAAAGTGGTCTAAAATTGGGATACAGAAAGTGGTTTGATACATAAACACGACCTCACAATTAAGCTCTACATATCAATCCAATGTTCAATATTATATCAGATATCAGGGCACATATCACTTGGTTTTGTGCAACTCAGGTTTAATGTAATTTTTTTTTTATGTGGATTCCCTTAATTGTTCAGGATTCTGCAGCCGCTTGAGGATAGGCCATTTTCATATTCCGCAGTGCAGATTTTCTCAATGTTCATAGACCGAACAAAGTTCAGACCTCTGCAACTCTACGGTTCTGTTATACTATCATCCCACATCGGGAAATCTCACCTCTTCAGCAGAGAAGCAAAGGAAGATGCCTTTAAATTGGATGAGCAAGTGAAAACCATTCGACCTCAAGGACACCGAGAGCAGCCTTCACATAAAAGGCTACGTTCATTGGGATTTGAGAGGTGCGAAATATTGGGCGTGGAGAAATCCTGATTACGGGAGGAGATTGTTTGACAGGCAGCTCTGTTCTTTTGTTCAAGGCATGAACGGGTTTGCTGCTATCCATTATACACTGTTTGAAGAAGCCGTCCAAGCTGATGTGGAGGTTCTCTGCGTGCCTAAGACGGGAACAGGCATGCCGCCGTTGTTTGCCCCAAGATTTACGGGACTCTCGTTGCTCGATACAATAATTATGACTATAGGACCCAATATAACAAGGAATACTATCAGGTTTGTCTCTTCGACAGGAGTCGAGAGGATCCAGTGGAGGTGGGGCCTAGGGGTTTGGTGGCGCTCTCGAGGTGTAGGGTCGCCGTTCCAGTGAAGTCCTCGCTCGTTATTGAAGCAAATTTTATTAGCGATGGACATGATGGTGTTCCTCATCAAGTGTTGTGCTCTAGGGAGTTTCGGATTCGAGCTCGTGATGATGTGGCAATCTTGGAGGGTGATTGCTATAATTTCCATGTTCCTGTGAAATGGACCGAGTTTAGTCATTAAGTTATATGTTCGTTCGACAATTTATGAATGTTTTTTATTTAATTATGGTATCGTTGTTTTTTCCTTTTTCGAAAAATTCAAGGTAGTGATTGTCGACATGTTTGTTAGTTTCGATGCTTTTGATATTAAAACGTTGCAACCTATGATGTTGTTTTTATATATAATTTTCTTTCTTTCTGTTGCTTTTATATATAATGTTTTCTTCTTTTTTCTTTTTTGCACTTTGTTCAGGTGCATTTGAGATTTTCAAAGCCTTTGTATTCTGTTATGTGTTTGCACTCGATATCCGCTCATTGCTCTTTGTAAAAGGACTGTTCTTTGTATAAGGCGAACTAACCTGACCTGTAGTCTAGTAGTATCAGCAATTCTTGGGACTAGAAGTCTAGAAGTGCTTTGAGGACAATGTTCAGAAGGCAGCCTACCTTTAGATATCTTAATGTTTTGGCTTTATGATGACGTGCTAATATAATGCATTTCATTATTATATTTTTCTTCTTTTTTTCCCGCCGTATGATGAAAGAGGAAACGCATACGGCCTTCCTGATGCCAAAAGTGTTGCTCGGATTCTTATTCCCATCAACTCCATTGTGTACGGTAGTGAGTCAGTTGAGATTTCTTTCTCAATTTCTGTGGAAGCATCTGATGATACGTACCTGTTTGATTTATTTCTTGGGCTTATTTCAATTTTTTGAAGTTCTCTTGCTTGATTTCATACCTTTTGTGAAGCCTCTTGATAAAAGTTGGGATATATTACAAAGAAAACTGTCTCAATTATTAAAAGATCCAATTACACTTTGAATATTAATATTTTAGCTAGTCGATATTGGTTTATGATTATTGAAGCTAGAATGCAGTGTGTAACTGCCTTGGACTACGTTTATGTTGGCTGAAGGATATGAAGAAAAAGGATATTGGTAAATTCCTGCCAAAGTGTAAACTGGTGCTAATGAAGGCAGCTTCTGTTTTGATGAATTGTTGAGAAAAATGGATATGTGTTATAAATGATAAGGAAGTAATTGCCTAAATGTTACATATCTCTGACCTTGGATTATGTGAGAAATGCTGTGTTTTTCTATTCAAAGTAATATTATAATAAATATTACTGGAACATCTTGATTTATATTAAAGAAAACGTGTGTGGTTTGGCTGTCTCGAATTTTAAGGGGTTAACTGTAATATATTTATGAATCTAGGTAAATTTTTGGAATTATTCTTTTGGGAATAAAAGACGACTCAAGGGTACATTTTTGTTATTGAATTTTAAACTTATCCCTTTTTTTTTCTAGTAAAACTCCAAATTACAGGAGTGAATTTTTGCAATTATCCTTAAAAATATCATTATATATTTTTATGTGAGTGTTTATCGAGGATTTAATTAATTTTACATGATATTCCGTTCATTTATTTTCCGTTTTGCAGCCAAAAAGGTGTGTTGAAAGAAGGTTTCTGAAATCTTCTATTTTTTTCTGTTAATCTTTTTTTGGGATAAGTTTTAGAAGCTAAAGAAAGTGTTCCTATGTGGATGTCAGTCAAGTTCATCTTCATGCTTTAATTGGAGCGAATTGTTGTAGGTTATTTAAGTGCAAGACCACTGAAGAAGAATGCCCTAATGACTGTTTGAAAACGCTCAATCTTAACCTCTTTGCTCAATTTCTTGGGTTTTTAATCAATTTTTTAAGTTGGCGGCTTGAATAGTCTTTGTTTCATTTTATGCCCTTTCTGAAGGCTCTTGTCGTAATTAGATAAATGAATAAATAAATAATGAATAAAACTATGTCTGGATTATTAAATGATTGAATTACATTTCAGAAAAAATCGTGCAAAATGTGTTTGAGATTTTGATCGGGAAAGAACAATAGATTATGTTTGCCACGCAAGTCGCCAAGATGATTATGAAGATTGATGATGTCATCTCACCGTCCAAGTATTGATGATTTGTCGTGAAATTTTGAATACGTGACTCTTTAAGGTGTTCATTTTTCAGTTTAACTTTTTTCTGGGGTACCTTCATGAATTCATCAAATGAAAATTTAAGCAATATCAGTTGGATTCAAAACATGTGCTCCGAAAAAGTAGATACTGAATTGACCTTAATGAACTCAACGGAGCAAGCGTTGAAGAAATTTGTACTCTTGTGAAAAATGGTTTTGACTTTGTTTTTTTAACATTGCACAAAGTATTTACCATGAATATATTCTTAATTTATTCCTATTTTATTGAAAATATCTCCTATTCCTATTTTTATTTACCTTCTTGTTTTATAATCTTTAGCTATCTCTCCTTATAAATACAGAATCCCGCTCCATGCTCCATGCATCGGGGCACGTTATATATGATGCTCATGTAGGGTAGGATTTTAGGTTAGAAATCCATTCTTTTAAATTATAAAACAAAAGAAAAATACATGCAATTTCAACTAGATAATTTATATGAACGAGAACCGTGAGATGACGACATTTCCCGGCTCAATGTCGGAGATATAAAATTAGGGTTCCTCAATTAGGATGACAATAAATACCCTTTAAAATGAGGCAACTAATGTCCACATCATTTGTGTATTAATCCAAAAATGTCACATGAGAAATAAATAAGTCCAACACTTGGCACGATTTTGACCTAGTGACTCGTTTTGCAAAAAAATTGAAAAGTTATTTCTAATTACAAAGAATCACTTCACTTCTCTATATATAATTTCAGAATGAGTTGAGCCTACGTGGCAAATTCTCACGCTTCGTAATCCTATTTGGCGAAATACCATGCTTTGGAGTTAGGCTTTGATATAAATTAATATTTTTTTTTATCACACTAAATTTATGATTGATTTTTTCCTTCTTTATTTTTACAATTAGTTACCATAAATTATTATATTTCTTTTTCCTACATTAACATATATTACATTTCATTTTCTCATTTAATTCATTTATCCCCTCTATATATAATTTCAGAATGCCCTGACCTACGTGGCAAACTCTCATGCTTCGGAATCCTATTTGGCAAAAAATCATGCTTTGGAGTTAGACTTGGATATAAATTAATATTTATATTAATTGTATTTTAATATCACTTCCTATTATAACCATTGAATTGCAAATATATTTTAAAAGTTGATAACTTTTGTATTTCTAATCGGTTTTACATATATAATATATCAAATTAATCATCTTTTGATGAGCTTCGATTTGACATCCATATTGTATATATAAAATAAATAAATTATATTTATCTTTATAACAATAATAAAATTATTTATTAAAATTAATTAGAAAATAAAATTATTTATCAATTAATATATTTATGTTTAATGTAGTTATATGTTATAAGGTAGAAAATTTATTATAATATAACACATATAAGTCGCACAAGTAACATGTGTCATACTAAAATATATAATAATATATACTCCCTCCTATTTTTATTATTTGTCACCTTGGCTTAATTTATCATTGATAAAATAAATATCGTTTTAGATATTTTGTTCATATTTTTTCATTTTTAACCCTCCATCTAATACACAGTATCTCTTCATATCTCATCCCATAACATCCATTAAATAAGGTTAATATTGTCAAGAAAAAAAATCTTAATTAGTGTGTTGCATTTGAATTGATATTATGAAATCCGTTTGTATTTTACTATTTATATATGTCTTAATTGAAGATAATACATATATATATATATATATGTATATATACATATAGGATGTGGTTCAAATGAGAACCAAGTCCTAGTGTGAGAACCGTGAGAACCGCTATTTTTAATTGTATGTAGTGCTATGATTAATTGTGTTTTAGTGCTATTTTTAACTAGGATGTATTTGATTAAAAATAGCAATAAAATTTTTATTAGCATTTATGAAAATGATAGCACCATGTAATATTAAAAATAGCATCATACACAATTAAAAATAGCATCAAATATGGTTCTCACGGTTCTCACACCAGATATAGTTTTTATTTGAACCAGCCCCTATACATATATATGTATATAATACAAAACAGTAATATATATCGTTATAAATAAAATTTAAATTTATTTATCAAACTAAATTAAATTTTATCAATTAATATATTACATTTTATCAATTAATATATTTATGTTTAATGTAGTTATATGTTATAAGGTAGAAAATTTATTATAATATAACACATATAAGTCGCACAAGTAACATGTATCATACTAAAATATATAATCATATATACTCTCTCCTATTTTATTATTTGTCACTTTGGCTTAATTGTTCATTGCTAAAATAAATGTCGTTTTAAATATTTTGTTCATATTTTTCCATTTTAACCGTCCATCTAATACACAGTGTCTCTTCATATCTCATCTCATAACATCCATTAAATAAGGTTAATATTATCAAGAAAAAAAAATCTTAATTAGTGTGTTGCATTTGAATTGATATTATGAAGTCCGTTTGTATTTTACTATTTATATATATATATATATATATATATATATATAATACAAAACAGTAATATATATCATTAAGAATAAAATTTTAATTTATTTATCAAACTAAATTAAATTATATCGAATAAAACTATAAATTATATTATAAAGTAATAGATTTGGTATGTATTCTTTTAAAAATAATATTTATTTCAACTCTAATTGGTATGTTGGTAATGTAATAAAAATAAATAATTATTTATATAAATTCTAAAATTACATATAAAGTTAAAAAACTGTGAAGCACGATTGATACGACACTTGATGTATTAAATTAAGTAAAAAAATTAATCTATTTTGCTTAATATTAAATAAACATAAAAAATTAATATTTTTTTACAAACACTTTCTAATTCAGCACCCGTATAATACACGGGTAATGTATTAGTTAGTTATTATAAATGTTTCTTCTTCTTATTTTAAGATTTTATAACTTTTTTTTTTGTATTTTATTTTTTATATATGATATATCAAATTAAGTATATTTTAACGATTTTCGATTTGACATCCATATTATATATATAATACAAAATAGTAATATATATTCTTATAAATAAATTATAAGTTTATTTATCAAACTAAATTAAAAGATATCTAATAAAATTATAAATTACAATATAAAGTAATAGAAATTGGTCTGTATTCTTTTAAAAATAATATATATTTCAAATCTAATTGGTATGTTATCAATCTAATAAAAATAAATAATTATTTATCTAAAT